GACAAATATCATATGTCGCTTTGGTATACCGCAGGCCATTGTGACAGACAATGGGAAGCAGTTTGACAACGCCAAGTTCAAAGACTTTTGCAGCAAGCTCGGCATAAGTCACCTTAGCTCGTCCCCCGCACATCCGCAAGCAAATGGGCAGGTGGAGGCAGTCAACAAGATCATCAAGCGAGGCATCAAACTTAGACTGGACTCCAAGAAAGGCAGGTGGGCCGAGGAGCTACCAGAGGTTCTATGGTCGTACCGGACCACCCAAAGAGAATCGACGGGTGAGACCCCGTTCTCCCTGGCCTTCGGCTCAGAAGCTGTAGTCCCGGTTGAGATCGGCATGCCATCTGACAGAGTAGAGCATTACGAGACTACAGCAAATGAGGAAGAGCTGCTCCTCAACCTCGACTTGTTGGAAGAAAGAAGAGCAATAGCCCAGCTACGCCTGACGGAATATCAGGGCAGAATGGCCAGACATTACAACGCCCGCGTTCGACCTCGGACCTTCCAGGTTGGACATCTGGTCTTAAGGAGGGTCCAAACCCGTGTGGGTGCCCTTGACCCGACCTGGGAGGGGCCGTTTGAAGTCAAGGGAATAGTCCGACCCAGGACGTACATTTGGCCGATCTGAAAGGAGACGTCCTCGCGCACCCATGGAACGCGGAGCACCTGAAGCGTTATTATCCTTGAAATGCCGAAATGGTTTTCAATGGATCTGTAAAAACTGTTTCAATCGGAAATGTGATGATTTAATTTCATGATTTCGAGTTCGACCAGAAATTAAATGGGGGCCACGGACTCCCACACGATCACATTCCAACAGTCAGTTAAAATTCAATCCTCCAAAACCTAAGGGTACGAGGTGCGATGCCAAAACCACTGATGAACTTAAAATTTAAACCTTCAAGGTAAAGGGACGATGTGAAAAGTTCAAAATGATCAAGCCTCTGAACCTGAGGGTACAATGTACGATATGAAGAACAGCTACGAACTTAGGATTTTAGCCTTTTAACGTTTTTAAGTTAAGGGTGCGATGTTAAAAAATCCAGAGTTGGTGCAATGCATTGAATACTAGACAGAGATTCGAATTCAAAATTTCAAGTATTTTTGAAGGCGCGACCTCAAAAGTACGAGGTGCGAGGTGACATTGGCTTTAGCTTAAAGAAAAAGCAAAGAAAGGAAGGCAACAAAGTAAAAACAAATGGGAGCTTCTTTATTGAATGGAGAGCAGATCCAAGGCTTATAGACCTTGCAGCTCTGCCCTGACACTTACAAACAAAGGAGAAGAGAAGAAAGACAGAGAAAGGCCTCATGAAGGATGATCGCCTAAGAGCCTGCCTGAGGAGCGCCCTCCTGGGTGGTGCCGACCTGGTCCTCTTCGAGATCGGAGTAGTCAGAGTCCAGATCTTTGACATACTTATCCACCAACGCTTGGGGGCCAGGGGTGCCGCCAGGCCCAGACGCCCACTGCTCGGCATACCTCTTTTTCAGACCACTGAGATCGATCTGAAGGTCAGGCATGTCGGAAGCAATGCCCTTAATGAGGAACTTGAAGCCCGCGTCAGAGAAGTCTTTGGCAAATCCATCGAAGTCAGGATGTTGCCTAAACGATTCCTCCAATAGGACTCCATTGCTGA